ATTATCTCTCATTATAATAATTCTTCTAGTAAAGTTTTTAAAAGCTTGTTATTTAGTACTTTCACTATTGTTTTTATTATCTGCAGCCTCGCCGGTATCTTTATTCGATCAAAGTATATATATATATATATATTTAACTATCTAAGCTATAGATCCGACATTCCCCGGCTGCCCCGAAGGGTGCCCAGGGACGGTCTGCCTTACCGGAGAGCTGCAGATAATAAAAAAAATAGTGAAAGTACTAAATAACAAGCTTTTAAAAACTTTACTAGAAGAATTATTATAATGAGAGATAATAGTAATCAGGACATATATTTATCAATTTAAAAAAATTTCCTTTTAAGTAAATTTTGCATTCCCTGCGTCGCTACGTAAAAAGTCGTTTACTAAGTATGGACATGGCTGGAATACACATGGTTGGAATTTCCAACCATGTCCATACTTAGTAAACGGCTTTTTAGTACAAAAGTGCTTATTTATTCTAACTTGGAATAAATAAGTACTTTTGTACTATTTTTATTTAAAGCTTTTATAATCATTATGTGTTAATACAGTTCCCAAAATCCTCGATATCCAATGGACGAGCAATTCTGTTAATTCTAGAAACGGAATGACAGATATCAGGAACCTCAAGTTGATGTCGGGCCCTTTAGCAAATAAATAATATTTAAATTACTGTTCTAAATAGTCCAAATCATGAAAAAAAGTTTCATACCATGCAGGAATAACTTTTTTCCACGTACCAATCGATGTACCATCTGGAAATGTTAAAACACAATCGTTCCAATTTTTAGCACCATTTTCGACAAGAATTCCAATAAATGCCACTTTTGTTTGGCCTGCGATACCGTTTCGGCAGTTCGGCGTAGCAGGGACGTCGTTAAAGCCCGCATCGTTCCATTGAAAAACGAGGGCAGGCATCTCCTTTTTTATGTCAGGAAGGGCACGGAGGATAGCAGTAACAATAGCAGGATCTTGAAATGCCACAGGAAGGTTTTTTAGTTCTAAAACGCGAGAAACTATTAATAACTCAGTCATTGATTATATTTAATCACTTTTACCTACTTGTACCCAAATTGAATGCAAGTATTTGGGCATTTATTTTTTCTGCTACGCTTTGAAATTTTTTAAATAGATCGGTCATGTTTTCAGCTAATTTCAAAATTCGTGGACCACCCTGAGAATTTATCCCGAATTATTGTCGGGATGGCGGGTGATTACATACTAATATAGTTAGATTTGGCACAGTAAATTGTTAAATTTTTGAATTATAATACATATGTATTATATAAAAAAGTATTGTATTTATGTTTTGTATTTATATACACCGATATAATTACGTATAATCTAAAACTCGTGATCGCCTGCCACCCGCCATCTGGTGGTCCATGAATTTTGAAATTAGCTGTAAGCAAAGAAAATCAAATTTTGTAGCAAAAAAAAAAAAAAAAAACTGCATTATTAAAATTTAGGGCGGTCGTGGAATGGATCAAAATAGAATAGGCAATTTTTTTTTGGATAATTGTAAATCTTCTAAACTTTAACTGCTTATAACTTTAATATTTAGGGTTGGATAAAAAATTTATATAATAGAGTTGCTAAAATAGTTATTTATTGTCGGTTATTTTTTTTAATAAAATTTTAAATTCTATGAATCCCCAAAAGTGCAGATCGATGGCGCAGTCAAAGCCGCAGCTGATAATTTACCAATTGTATTGTACGAACAATAATCGATACAAATTTTAAACCTCAAACCTCTTCTTGAAATTTTAGGTAGCTGTCCCACAAAATTTTTTCCACCCCTTGTAATAACGACCAATCGAATTTCAGGATCAGGTGTAA